ATCAATTAACAAACGGAGACGTAACAGTACTTACACGTTACATTTCTTGTAGAAATTTATGAAATATAATAAATTTAATACAGTTTGGTTTGTTTTGAATTTCGCGCAAAGCTACACGAGGGCTATCTGCGCTAGCCGTCCCTAATTTAGCAGTGTAAGACTAGAGGGAAGGCAGCTAGTCATCACCACCCACCGCCAACTCTTGGGCTACTCTTTTACCGACGTCACGTTATAACGCCCCCAACGGCTGAAAGGGCGAGCATGTTTGCGAGTCGTGCGTCCTAACCACCTGGCCATGCCGGGCTAAATTGAATACAAACTTATAAACTGTTCAAACTTTTATTAACTTGATGTATACTTGTTCTTTCTACATACATATGTGCAATCAACAGTTTAACTGGCACCTTTTTTTTTTCTTCGCAATTTGCTCACAATGTTTTCGTGTTTGTTTCAGAGGTTTCGCGCAAAGCTACATAGAGAGCTATCTACTCATAGCCGCCCCTAATTTTGAACTGATAGACTAGAAGATAGGCAACTAATCAAACAACACCCACCGCCAACTCTTAGGCTAGGCTTGTGGGATATTGACTGTCATTCTTATAACACACCGACGACCCTAAAGTACGAGGTGCGATTTTGCTACAATGAACCGAGAATCGCGCACATTAGCCACTAGACCACGCTCGAACCATGGATTTGTGAAGTTAAGTTAATCCGGAATCAAAGCGTAACAACATTAACCTTTATTGATGAATTTCCTCCTAGTAAATTATAAATGAAAATAACAAAATCCTCTGTCTTATTAAGTTTTCTTCGACTGTTTAAGAAGAAGGAAAAAAAGAATAGATTTCGTTTGGTAGTTTCAGAATTCTAGAATTTATTTATTTAAAGGAAAAAAGACCAAAGTTGTGATTATTTTTCTGACAGTACCAAATCTTACAGTTTTTATTTGTTTCATGGGAAAACCAGAGACGTGAATTAATTGTGACAATACATAACCAGATGTGTAATGCTGCCAAGGTGTTCCGCCACCTGAAATCGGAGCTAAGTCCCGATACTTCAAAAACTAAGATATATATATATATATAATAAGATATTATTTTACACCCAAAATTAAGTGTCTCTCATTACCAAAGTCTCGAACTGTCAGAGAACACTCTGGGTATTTGTGATTCCTCGTGTCTGCTGGTAGAATTATCTTAGACCGCCCAGCACACAATCTGTAACTCTCTCTCAGGAGCTGGCGTCAGGCACCGTGCGACATTTTCAGTTCAAAAACAGGTGTTTGAGCATTAAAATGATGAAATGTTTTGTCTACGTCACGTGGTTATTTAGGCACAGGAATATTTTCATTAAAACACTGAATAAAATACATTTTACAATTGTACTGTGTTTAAAACATATATATTCTAAGAGGTTTATTATTTATATAATATGCAACGAAAGTCGTTTTTTTCTAGTTATTCATGTTGGCAGGACAAGATGCATGCAAAACATATAAAAGTCAAAGTTGTTAATACCGTAGTGAAGTTAAAAAATAGTAATTGAATAACATGTGCGTTTTCAAAACTTGTTTTAATGTTAATAATTTTTATTTGGTACCCATTTGTTGTTGTTTTTGCTTTTCTTATCTTGGTGTTTAATTTAAAGGAAGTTAAGTTGCGTGTTTTCTATAGGTAATATATGCATATTCAATTTCTTACTGTCACTACTTTTAAATATATAGTACTGTATGTATTACCTTTATTAAAATAGACTCATTAAAATGTAAATTAGGTTTAGAATACAAGACCTTTTTCCAGATGGTGAAGTCACACGTCTGACAGATTTTGGCAGAGCTCCAACGTTTAGAACTACACCACTATAACATAACTTTCTATTCTGTAGTCGGTTAAACGAAAGACCTGAATTGCGAGTTAAGGGCCTGTTTTTCACAGTGTGAAACCTTCTCGTCTTAAGTTTGGTTAGTGAACCATCAGGGATGTGAGGTACTTCTGATAGAATCAAACTTTCAACTTGGAGACCAAAGACGTGAGTTATCTCACAATAGCAAATCTTCTAGTCTCTAACGGTCTAACCGGTTAAATGTAAAGACCAAAGACGTGAGTTATCTCACAATACCAAATCTTCTAGTCTCTAACGGTCTAACCGGTTAAATGTAAAGACCAAAGACGTGAGTTATCTCACAATACCAAATCTTCTAGTCTCTAACCAGTTAAAGGTAAAGACCAAAGACGTGAGTTATCTCACAATACCAAATCTTCTAGTCTCTAACGGTCTAACCGGTTAAAGGTAAAGACCAAAGACGTGAGTTATCTCACAATACCAAATCTTCTAGTCTCTAACGGTCTAACCGGTTAAATGTAAAGACCAAAGACGTGAGTTATCTCACAATACCAAATCTTCTAGTCTCTAACGGTCTAACCGTTTAAAGGTAAAGACCAAAGACGTGAGTTATCTCACAATACCAAATCTTCTAGTCTCTAACGGTCTAACCGGTTAAAGGTAAAGACCAAAGACGTGAGTTATCTCACAATACCAAATCTTCTAGTCTCTAACGGTCTAACCGGCTAAAGGTAAATACCAAAGACGTGAGTTATCTCACAATACCAAATCTTCTAGTCTCTAACGGTCTAACCGGTTAAAGTGTAAAGACCAAAGACGTGAGTTATCTCATAATACCAAATCTTCTAGTCTCTAACGGTCTAACCGGTTAAAGGTAAAGACCAAGACGTGAGTTATCTCACAATACCAAATCTTCTAGTCTCTAACGGTCTAACCGGTTAAAGGTAAAGACCAAAGACGAGAGTTATCCGTGATATTCTCCTGCTGATTAATGAAAAAAAAATCACAGAATTCAGTTTTGTAGTATAAAATATTTTAGTCTCCGGTTTGTTGTTTCTTACAGTTTCAAACCCCCGGTCTCTAGTTGGTTAACGAGAAGAAGTCCATAATTACGAGTTTTGGTATTAAACCTTCTGATCTATAGCTGCTTAAGAGGAAGACCAGGGACTTAGATTTGTATGTTTGAGTCGAACCTTTCTCTCCTTAACTTGGTTAAGTAGAAGACCAGAGATATATATAGCAAAGTATCAAATACTCTGGTATCTCGTCGGTTAAAGAGAAAAATGGTGGCGTTTTTATTTATAAGGTGAACATCAAAGCTACCGAGTTATTTAACTAAGTCCTCCCAGTAGCACAACAGTATGTCTGCAGACTTATGCCGCTAGAAACCAAGTTTCGATACCCGTAGTGGACAGAGCAAAGATAGCCCTTTGTGTAGTTTTGTTCTTTCTTAATAACAAACATCAATTCAAGTAAAAAGACACCAACTACTTGTTATTTCTGAGAGTATTTTGTTGGTTAAGAGTAATATGCTGGTAATATTAGTTATTTCTGATGGTATCAACTCCGCTTGTCTCTAGTTGTTTTAGAAGTTCAAGTTACGTGTTTTTTTTTTCTGACATTATCAATCCTTCAACTCTCAAGTTGCTTAAGAGGAAGACAACAGCTACGATTTACATAAAATAGTACCAAACCTTCTGGTCACTATTTAATTAAGGGGGAAACGATAGTACCAAACCTTCTAATCACTACTTAATAAAGGGGAAACGATAGTACCAAACCTGCTGGTCACTATTTAATTAAGGGGGAAACGACAGTACCAAACCTTCTATTCACTATTTAATTAAGGGGGAAACGATAGTACCAAACCTTCTAGTCACTATTTAATTAAGAGGGGAAATGATAGTACCAAACCTTTTAGTTGCTATTTAATTAAGGGGGAAACGATAGTACCAAACCTTCTAGTCACTATTTAATTAAGGGGGAAATGATAGTACCAAACCTTCTAGTCACTGTTTAATTAAGGGCGAAACGATAGAACCAAACCTTCTAGTCACTACTTAATAAAGGGGAAACGATAGTAACCAAACCTTCTTGTCACTATTTAATTAAGGGGGGAAATGATAGTACCAAACCTTCTAGTCACTATTTAATTAAGAGGGAAACGATAGTACCAAACCTTCTAGTCACTATTTAATTAAGGGGGAAACGACAGATATGAATTATTTCTGATAGTATCAAATCTTTTATTTTTTAAAGGAATGGTCGAACTTGTGTTTCTTTCCATAGAATTAAATACTCTAGCCATTAGTTGGTTAAGGAGAATACCAGAGTTGCAAGTAAAATCTGAAGGTACTAATTGTTTTAATCACGAGTTGGTTAAAGATAATAACACGAAGTAACCGCAATAGCTATGTCACTGACTGATTCACTCTACTATCTTGAAGAACGAAAAGTATACTCTTTCTTATCTATCCCGTACATATAATCTACTTTCGAATATGCTAAAAACGTCCTAAGAGCTTCCTAAGTGCTCTAGGTCTATCTCATTAAACCTTTTGATCTAACGTCATCATTAAGTCCTGCAGCTCCCTCTAGCTAACATTTAAATTACATCATTAAAAATATAGATTACGAACATATTATAGTCTTTTTCTTATTTCATACTTTCTTTTACGATTTAATTAGTTCTTGTGTATCTCCAAAGTTTATTTTTTGACTTCCTCTGAAAATTAAAGATACTTTAATTTCTGCTGACCTGCATATTTTCCTTTTGCCGTAAACAATATTTCAAATTTCTTCCTCAATCATTGAATCTTACTCTTCTCGCTGTTAGATATTAAAGATTGTTTTAAACTTATGAGATAAAATCCTTGCCTCACTTTCCCGACTTTTAATGCCTGATATTGGTTTTTACTAACTTTGAATTTCATAAGTTATATAAGTTTCATTGCATAGGATAAAAAACGAAACAACAACAAAAGATCGTTTTCAAACGTCATCTTATTTTTGCATCCATTTATAGTCATTAAAAGTTGCTTATTGCTCACTTATTTAGCTTTATCAGTGTGTTGACTATTCTTTAAACTCGTGAAGTTTCAAGTGTTTCACTTTATATCGTTTCTTAAACTAAGACCTTCACTGTTTATGTACTCAGAAATGGAAACGGGAGAATGACGCGTTACCGTCTGACCAAAGGCGCCCTATACCCCAAAAACCTGACAATTCTGAAGCTTTAACAAGGGACGAGTACAACGAAGCTTCATGGAAGATATTTCAGTCGCAATTGGCGCCATGTCCTGACTGCGGGCGCACTTTTTTCCCAGACCGCCTTCCAATCCACCAGAGAGCATGCAAGGGCAAAAATGACAACGGTGGAAGTAAATCAGATAGTTTCAGTGTATCTGAAACGTCGGATAAAGATGCCTCGGTATGTCGTTTATATAGTTATTTATGAAAAACATTTTTTGTTAATAGTCATAACAAATATTACTATTGTACAAAATTAAATATTATCTTACTTAGAATACGGTTGTGCTCAAGCTAACTGCTAAACTGGTATCTTTGTTGCGGTTAAGGTTGTGGTATTTTCAGGTGAAAACAGAATTCCTGACAAATATCAGATAGCTGTTTTTGTTTTTTTTTAATTTCGCACAAAGCTACATCAGGGTTATCTGCGCTAGCCGTCTCTAATTTAGCAGTGTAAGACTAGAAGGAAGGCAGTTA